CAATACTCCTGCCTTAGCCTCCCAAGTAGCTGGGACTACAGGTGTGCACCACCATGCCCAGCTAATTTTTGTATTTTTTAGTAGAGATGGGGTTTCACCATGTTGGCCAGGATGGTCTCGATCTCTTGACTTTGTGATCTGCCCACCTCGGCCTCCCAAAGTGCTGGGATTACAGGCATGGGCCACCACGCCCGGCCTGACCTAAACATTCCTTTACATGAGATAAATAAGGCTGCTGCCAGCTTAACTTGGTATACTGCTTTACAGTAAATTTTATTTTTTTATAAGTAGAGGGAATAAAGGAATACACTATAAAGTAACAATAAAAAGTACACCATAGGGCCAAGCATAGTGGCACTCCAGGCCGGGCGGGGTGGCTCTGGGAGGCCAAGGTGGGATGATTGCTTGAGAACACCAATCAACTGACTATACCTATGGCACATGTCTGTAATCCCAGCTACACAGAAGCCTGAGGCAGGAGGACAGGTTGAGCTCAGGAGCCCAACACCAGCCTAGGCAACACAGTGAGACTCATATCTTTAAAAAAAAAAAAAAAACCCTAATGGAATTTATAAGTATGGAGCTATTCCACGCCATCAACCTATTTATCAATCCTTATATAAATACTTCACTGTTTAGATTACTGCAGTTTTAAAGTAGATCTTGAAGCTAGTAGCATTAAATTCTCCAGCTATGTCCTTCCTTTTCAAGATGGACTACTGTAGGTCCTTGGCACTTCCACATAATTTTAGAGTCTGCCTGTCAATTTCTATTTAAAAGCACCTTTAAGATTATGATTGTGGGCCGGGCGCGGTGGCTCAAGCCTGTAATCCCAGCACTTTGGGAGGCCGAGGCGGGTGGATCACGAGGTCAAGAGATCGAGACCATCCTGGTCAACATGGTGAAACCCCGTCTCTACTAAAAAAAAAAAAACTACAAAACATTAGCTGGGCATGGTGGCACGTGTCTGTAATCCCAGCTACTCAGGAGGCTGAGGCAGGAGAATTGCCTGAACCCAGGAGGCGGAGGTTGCGGTGAGCCGAGATCGCGCCATTGCACTCCAGCCTGGGTAACAAGAGCGAAACTCCGTCTCAAAAAAAAAAAAAAAAAAAAAAAAAAAGATTATGATTGTGATTACATAAAATCTGAAACACTCATTTTAAGCAGAGAACAGAGGAGAAATCTTGAGGAGACTAAGACAGAGAAAGTAAAAGGGAAGAGATAATTTAAAAATCAAATATTCAAAAATTCCATTAAATTTAACACTATGGAGGTCACTGGGATCTTCATAACAGAAGCTTCATTGCCCTGGTAGAAGAAGCAGCCAGACTGAAACATCATTTCATCCCTTCATTCTGATTAACAAAACCTGAATTGTCGCTGGGTACACAGATAACAAAAAAGACTACATCATCTTTCTTTCTGGTTAACCGTGGGCACTTACTAACACTGGCTAATGAAATATGAGTGGATGTATCATATGCAATTTCTGAAAAGTGTCCTTAAAAAGAAGGCTATGTGCCTTTCTTTCTCCTTCCCTCCTCCCTCTTGCTAGAATGAGTAACTGTCAGTTCAAATTAAAGCAGTCATCTTACCATGAAGCATCATATTAAGGACGGTAGAGCAGCCAGATAGAAGAATTTGAGTCCCTGATGATTACAGAGCTGCTGCCATAAAAGCAAGCCTGCCTACCTATGCAATCATATACATATTTAAGCCAATATTATCTTGTTTTCTGTGTAATATAGCTGAATCTAATACTAACACAAATATTCAAAAGTTCTTTTTTTTTTTTGAGATGGAGTCTCTGTTGCCCAAGCTGGAGTGCAGTGGCACAATTTCAGCTCGCTGCAACCTCCGCCTCCTGGGTTCAAGCGATTCTCCTCCCTCAGCCTCCCACCTATAATAGCTGGGATTACAGGTGCGTGCCACCATGCCCAGCTAATTTTTTGTATTTTTAGTAGAGACGGGGTTTCACCATGTTAGCCAGGATGGTCTCGATCTCCTGACCTCGTGATCCACCCACCTTGGCCTCCCAAAGTGCTGGGATTACAGGCATAAGCCACCACACCCAGCCCACATCACAGTTTTTAATATCTATATGCCAGTGATCTCAGAGTACCTCTAGCTACGGTCTTTCCTGACCCATCTATCTAACAGCTGTTGGAACATTTCCACTTGGATGTCCAATAGGCTTTTCATACTTAGCCATCCAAAACAGAATTCTTTTTCTCCCCAAACTCTTCCTCCACAAATCTTCTCCATCACCATCCACCAAATGGTCAATGCTTTTTTATTGTAAATGCTAAATAATCTTCCTCTTAAGCAAAAAAACAGATGTTGCCCTTGATTCCTTGTTTTCCCCTTACCCTACATCCAAATCATGCATAATTCCTCTTCTCTTACATCAAAACATACCCCAAAATCCATCCATTTCTCTCTGTATTCACTGCTACACTTTTGTCTAGCTCAAGCCACCAACATGTTTCATTTGGAGTAACAGAATGTCACCTCAGTGGTGCTTTCTGTAACTTAAGAAATCGTTCTCAGATTTTTTTTAAAAAGCTGGGGAGACAGTAGTGCTGGTTGCACAATGCAAATGTCACCAAACTCAACATCTCAAAATGCTTAACATGATGAATCTTATGTGTAACAAGATTTAACAGGCAAACAAAAAAGAAATCTTTCACAGAGACAATGGTCTCTTTTATTTCCTTTCAAATATCTTGCAGCTGTGTCATTCACATTTAGGTCTTTAATCTATCTGGAAACTACTGTTGTCAATAGTTTGAAAGCAAGAATCTAATCCTATCTGCTGTATTCCATAATGACGCCACATATCTCACATATCTTACCATCCTTTATTGAATAGTCTATGCCTTCCCCCTGCTTTGCAATACCACTCAGTGGTATACTAAGCTCCCATATGTAAATAGGTATGTTTCTAGTTTCTCTATTCTGTTCCATGAATCTACTTCTCTATCCCTGAATCAATACCACACCATCTTAATAATTACAACTTCATATTAAGCTTTGGTATCTGATATGGAGAGACCTTATTTTTCTTCTTCTTCTTCAAAATTGACTTCCCAATTCTTGGTCCTTTGCCTTTCCATATAAATTTTAAGTTCAGCATGTCAAGTTCCATAAAACCATACAGTGATTTTAATTGGCATCACACTAAATTCACAGAAATTGGTAAAACTGGTATCTTCTTGTTGAGTCTTTCCATCCATGAATATGGTATATCTCCCCATTTACTTGGGTTGTCTTGTGTTCCAACAGAAACTTATACTTTTCTGTCTAAAGGACCACACAGTTTAGATTGATCTATTTCTAGATACCTTTAGTTGTGAATGCCATTATGAATAGTGTCTATTCATTATTAAAACTTCTAGTTGTTACTGGTATATAGAAGGTTTTTAAATGCAGAGTTCTTCCTGAAGGCCATTTCTGACATCCCCCTGGCCAAAATAACGCTTCCACTTACTCTTTATCACATCATCAAATGGTACCTTCTCCTTAACTGACTTGAGTGTCTCTCTGCCCCCACCTAAATTAGTTACTTGTTCACCATTGTACCCCAAGTGCCTAGAATAGCTGGTACACATCAGGTGCACAAAAATGGAACTGATGAAGAAGTCAAGGAAAAGAATGTATTGCAAGATAGAAAAAAAAAGCAAATAAACGATTCTTGGGAAGAAGAAGACTTGGAGGCAATTTTGTTATTGTAAAGAGAGTGCAACAATACAGAAATCACCCGCTGGAAAATATTTGAGGGACAGAAAGAGGGAACTAAATGGAAGAGCTGGGTTCCCAAGAGATCACATGAATAAACACAATGTTAAAAAATAAAAATAAAAAAGCAGCATGAGGTTGGGCACAGTGGCTCACGCCTGTAATCCCAGTACTTTGGGAGGCCAAGGCAGGCGGATCACCTGACGTCAGGAGTTCCAGACCAGCCTGGCCAATACGGCGAAACTCTGTCTTTACTGAAAATACAAAAATTAGCCGGGCATGGTGGCACAGGCCTGCAATCCCAGTTACTAGAGAGACTCGGCAGGAGAACTGCTTGAACCCAGGGGACGAAGGATGCACTGAGTCCAGATCGCACCAATGCATTCCAGGTTGACCGAAAGACCAAGACTATCTCCAAAAAGAAAAGAAAAAAAAAAAAAAGCAGCATGAGCTTAATCGCACCAATGCATTCCAGCCTGACCGACAGCCCGAGACTATCTTCAAAAAGAAAAAAAAAAAAAGGCAGCATGAGCTTAACTGGGGAAATACAATTTAACCTAAGGAACAGAAAACAAGAACTTCATACCTCAACTAGTAAAAATAATGAGGTGTTCCTTTAGACTACAGAACAGATTTGGGGTAAGAACCTTCTGGGGTCTTTCACTTTAAAATGACCGTTGCCGAGTTTAGAGATGTCTCGGCATTCAATCTGTTCAATCTATGCGGTTAGAGCCGGAGCAGGAAGCGGTGGTCGGGAAGGCTCAGATGTGACCCGTGAGGCCGTTTCCTACTCGTCCTCATCATCTCTCCGTGACTACCGAGCCCCGGAAGACCCACCGGCAGGTGCACTCCCCGAGGCTTCGACAGCAGCCAGAGAAAGGCAGCGACCAGGAAAGACAAGTCAGGCTGGCGACGACCAGAGAGAGGCCCTCGCGCCCCGCGGAGCGTCTGCGGGTCGGTCGGGTCCCTGCGCCTCACGGTGGTGCCCGGCCGTGCCAGGTCCCCGCCCTCCCCTCTCTCCCCTCCCTACCGCGCCCAGCTACGCCGACGTCCCGGTCCGCCCCCACACCAGCCCGGCCTCCACGTCCTACCTGCCGGCCCGCGGACTCGGCCAGTCCCCAACCGCTCGCCGGACCCAGTCGACTGGGGCGCCCTCTCGCCGGTTGCCTGCCAGGGCCCTCCACCCGGCGGCGGGCAGTTCACGACCCCGCCCCCTCGGCCCGCTCTGGGCCCGCCTCCCGCCGGCTCGCTCCACCCACAACAGCGTCCCTAGCGCGATGACGTATAGGCGCAGGCGCACTCTGTCGGCGACGGCGAGGCGCTTTTGCATCTGTAGGCCGAGGTGTGTGGCGAGCGTTTGAGCGGCTGGGGCTAGTGGGGTGCGGGAAGACTGAGAGGTCCTAAAGATAGAGGGGAAGAAGAGAAAAGTCCCAGAAGCCTGTCCACCGGGTGCTGGGGGCACAGGGCGGTGTTCCGCACTCTCTCCGGGCCCTTCCTGGCGGAGCTGCACGCCAGCCCCGCAATCATTTTTAATCGTGGGTTTCCTGTGGGGCGGCTCGCCCTGCACCCCGGTGTAAGTGGAAGGTTAAGTGGGCGGACGCTCAGTGGTTTCCTTCCAGCCCGGGTCCGCGGGGGGCGTGGTTTATTTAAGGAAGGACCAGGAGATCTGTCTTGTCCTTTTTTTTTTTTTTTTTCCTCCTTTGCCGGGAACTACGACTTAATCTCTTTGGTCTCCTCATATGTAAAATGATGTGGTTGGGTCCGGTTGTGGTGGCTCACACCTGCAGTCCCAACACTTCGGGAAGCCGAGGCGGGCGAATCACTTGAGGCCAGGAGTTCGAGACCAGCCTGGCCAACATGGTGAAACCCCGGCTCCACTAAAAATACAATAAATTGGCCGGGCGTAGTGGCTCACGCCTGTAATCCCAGCACTTTGTGAGGCCGAGGTAGGTGGACCATTTGAGATCAGGAGTTCGTGACCAGCCTGAAATCGCTTGAACCCGGGAGGCAGTGATTGCAGTGAGCCAAGATCACTCCACCCTGGGCGACAAAGCGAGACTCAGTCTCAAAAATGAAAGAAGATACACACACACACGCACACTCTACAATACAGTAAATTTTTTTTTTTTTTTTTTTTGAGACAGAATCTCGCTCTGTCGCCAGGCGCCAGGCTGGAGTGCAGAGACGCGATCTCCGCTCACTGCAACCTCCGCCTCCCGGGTTCAAGCAATTCTCCTGCCTCAGACTCCCGAGTAGCTGGAACTACAGATGCATGCCACCACGCTCAGCTAATTTTTTATATTTTAGTAGAGAGCTGATTTTTTATATTTTCACTGTGTTGGCCAGGACAATACAGTAAATTAACCAGGCTTGGTGGCTCATGCTTGTAGTCCCAGCTACTTGGAATGCTGATGGGAGGATCGCTTGAACCCGGAGGCGGAGGTTGCAGGGAGCTGAGATCGCGCCAATGTACTCCAGCTTTGGCGGCAGAGCCAGACCCTGTCTCAATAAAGTGAAGTGGTTGGGCTCACTGTAATTTCTGAAGCACCTTTCAGAACTAACTTCTTTGATTCCTGTTTTTCAGGATCTTACCCTTTGTCATTCACCTGAATGGGAAAATAAATCCTTTGATTACTGGATGGTTTACACCTGGATTGGGTACACTGGTGTAGAGTTAAGCCGCTTGCTTCTATTAGAGCTAATTGACCGTGGGTAGAATTGGTTAGCAAGTAAGATGTGGTATTAATATTCCAAGTAGACTCATTTTAATTTTGTTAAAAAATCAGTATGTCTCTTTTCTTCAGTGTTAACTGTCTTTCATAGACTTAACTGTTAAATATCGATGTTTAATATGTTGCCTCATTTCAGAGGCACATCCCCAAAATAAAGTTAATGATTTTTAATTTAATGTCACCTTTCTCTTTTTATTAGTATTCTTGAGGTCATCTGAACCTTCTGACTGAGAAAAGATGGTCAACGTCTTGAAAGGAGTGCTTATAGAATGGTTAGTAGTTTTGATGCTTCATGAGTTTTAAGTTTAAATACTGAATCTTACATGTATATCTTTTCCAAAACCCTACTGTTTTTAAGATATGAATGAAATCAAGTCTTTTGCTTTCCCAGCTTCAGTTTTCTTATATAACAACTGGGACAGATTTTGTTGCAAAGTTCCTGGTGCCAGATTTCAGTCTCTTCTGTTGAATTGATGGAACTGGCATGGTCAGAAGCAGCATATTTGTTAGATGAGTCTTTAGAGAAACAGTGCTTGCATTCTCCTCAAACATGACTAGAATTCTAGGGCCTGAAAGAGTTCAGGAACTTGCTTACGTCTTCACCATTACAAACTGTGGACTTTATAAACGAGAAAAACGACAGCCAGATGGGGAGGGTTTCTTAAATTCCTTTAGATACAGTCCAAAGGAGAAGCTAAAAACCATAATGGGCAGGGGTACGTTCCTCAAAGCAATCCAATGTATAGGAACCCTGGGAATCCTGCTCTCTGGACACTCCCATTGTCTGAAAATACTGTTGTCTACCTTTCTGTGCCTCTAATATGAGCCGTTGCATGGATAATGTTACTGTTTCCGTGATGGCAAGGCTGAGGAGGAGCAAGATGGAACTCGAGGACACCACCAACATTTAGAACAGCACTACCCAATAGAAACCTAATGCGAGCCACAGATAATAGGCTTACATTTTTTTCTAGCCACATTAAGAGGAAAGTCAAATGAAACAGGTGAATTTAATTTCTGTTTAACCCTGTCTATGCAAAACACTATGCTTTCAACATGTACTAAGTCTTCAAAAGAAATCTTCATCTCCAAAGTCAAATGCATATTTTAATTTTATAGCACATCTCACAGACTAGCCATGTTTCAAGGACTCTGTAGTGACCTAATGGGCCACCTTTTGTACCGTGCCGATTTGCAGTTTTGGTAGAGGAGACACCAACAAAGGCAGCTAAGAAGAAAATAGCCAGTGCGGTTGGAGGGAGGGAAGCCAAAGGAGGAAGTGTTTCACAGGGATGAGTGGGCCGTATTGGGCACTGATTGAGGACTGGCGTGAGATGAAGATTGGAGTTTTGATGAGAGCTATTTTAATGGAGTGGTGGGGGCAGATGCCAGATTGCAGCACTGTGAAAAAGGAAAGGGAGGTGAGGAAGTGGGAATGGAGACTTTGGAAAAGATTTGCTGTAATAATGAGCAAACGGATAGCTGAGGAAGGACATGGTGAGGACTCAGGTTCTTGTTAATTTTATTTTAATGTGAAAGACTTGAATGTACATTGATGAGAATAAACCACTAGGGGAAAAGCAAAGGGGATGGGATCTGAATAAGTTCAAAACACACTGTTGTGTTGTCTTTTGAAGACTCTAGGTTTGATGTACTTATTTTCCTATTAATTTGTCATAACATAAACATTTTCCTGGTTGGCCTTCGTTATTTTTAAATACAGAGGATACACATACACAGAATGTCAGCTATCAATTTTTTTTCCTTTTGTTTCTTCCAATTCTAAGTTTAATCTTCACCCCGGGGTTTGTTAAACATTCACTTCTCTTGTAGGGGTTTTGTGTTTTTCTTGGTGTTTTAAAGTTCATCCATCTAGAATTCACTGGAAGGAGAGGCATATTATGAGGTGAGGATCTAAATTAGCTTCTTTTTTGTCTTTTCATTTTGCCAAATAGCTCAACAGTTCTCCACGTTTCTTTTCTTTCCTAGTGATGCTTGATGCCTCCTTAATCACATAATTTTGCTCCCCTTGCTATTCTCTCCCATCCCTTCCCACATTCATTTTGTTGTTGTTGTTGTTGTTGTTGTTTTTGCCTATTCTAGAATAACCTTGAAATAATTTTAGTCTTATTTCCAAAATAATCCTTTTGGCATGATGGTTGGAATTGCATTAAACCTACGTTTTAATTTGGGGGAAAAAAAAAAGATGGCTAGATTGCATCTTAAAAGAACAAAACTCTGGGCTGGTGTGGTGGCTCACGCCTGTAATCTCAACGCTTTGGGAGGCCGAAGTGGACGAATCACGAGGTCAAGAGATCAGGACCATCCTGGCCAACATGGTGAAACATGTTCTACTAAAAATACAAAAAAAAAAATTAGCCGTGATGGTGCATGCCTGTAATCCCAGCTACTCGGGAGGTTGAGGCAGGAGAATTGCTTGAAACTGGAAAACAGAAGTTGCAGTAAGCCAGGATCGTGCAACTGCACTCTAGCCTGGTGATAGAGCGAGACTGCATCTCAAAAAAAAGAAAAGAACAAAACTCTGAGGAGACTCTGAAGTCTCAGTGCCTAGTTTGCTGTCCCGTATCTCGCCTCTGAATTCTGCCTGGTTTCTCTAATGACTGTCTATCACCTTGCACTTCAGGATAATCCCCAGACTAGCAGCAATAGCATCAGCTGGAGCTTGTTAGAAATACAGTCTTAGACCTTACCCTAAATCTACTAAGTCAGAATTGTGCATACAAAGGACCTTGTTGGCCAGGCTCAGTGACTCACACCTGTAATCCTAGCACTTTGGGAGGCCGAGGCAAGTGAATCACCTGAGGTCAGAAGTTTCAGACCAGCCTGACCAACAAAGTGAAACGCTATCTCTACTAAAAACACAAAAAATTAGCCGAGCGTTGTGGCAGGTGCCTGGTGCCTGTAATCCTAGCTACTCAGGAGGCTGAGGCAGGAGAATCACTTGAACCCAGGAGGCAGAGATTTCATTGAGCCAAGATCACGCCATTGCGCTCAAGCCTGGGCAACAAGAGCAAAACTCCATTAGAAAAAAAAAAAAAAGGACCTTGTTAAGATGCATTTACATTTTGAGAAGTACTGTTAATCAGCTTCAGTTCAATAGTTTCCCTATGGAGAAGTGTTTTGCAACAGGACTGTTAAGTTTTTACAGGTAGGTACTGTCCTTGCAAAACTAATTTTTCCATTCAAAGTGATTTCTAAAGTGTAGTCTGCACAATTTTTCAAAAGAGTAACTCTGTCTTCCCCAAATGCAAGTCTTCCAAAAAGGATTTTGGGCCTAAGAAATAACACAGATTCACAAAGGGCACGGCCAGTGCTAGCGGATTCCCCTTCACAGATGCAGGTGTTAGGACGATAACTGGAAAAGTCACTCAGTCTCCCTCATGTATGTATTTGATGCTGAGGAGAAGCTTGTTATTAATACGGTATCAGCATGAGTCTGTTTATTACTTCATAATATCCATGGATTACATGAAGCATTCAGGCGTATTGGAGTATAGGATTTGTTAGGTCTGGAGTTTATAGGCAAACCACTCGAGGATCTTCTACAGCTGTTGCAGGACACCAAAATTGAGGCTCAGCTCTGAAGGCCAAGTTGGTTTTGGCTTCATGCAGGAAAGAATTCAAGAGTGAGCGACAGTGAAACTGAAAGCAAGTTTATTAAAAAATAAAGGAATAAAAGGTTGGCTACCCCATAGGCAGAGTAGGGTGGGGCAGGTGGGCAGCAGGCAGGCCTGCTAACTGGCTATTTTACGGCCATTTCTTGATTATATGTTAAACAAGGGGTGGATTATTCCTGAGTTTCCTGGAAAAGAAACAGGGATTCCATGGAACCAGGAGTCCACGGTCCAGACCATATAGGGTAACTTCCAGATCTTGCCATGGCATTTGGAAACTCTCATGGCGCTGGTGGGGGTGTTTTTAGCGTGCTCATGCATTATGATTGGTGTATAATAGTAGAGAAGTTTGCTTTTGTTACCATCTTGGTTCTGGCTGGTTTCTTTACTGTATCCTTCTTATGGGTGGCGTCTTCTGACCTGTGGTTTACTGTCTCTCCTGTCTTGGAAACTAGTCCTGCTGAATTCCTATCTCACAGCTGCTTCCACTGTCCCAAGAATCTGTCTCCAAATTCCAGTACATCATTGTATTAATATAAACTAATGTGTAATCGCTTATGTAGTGCTGTTCCACATATATCTTAGCTTGGCTTGACTTACTGCCATATTTAAACTCCATTTTTATCAGTTACATTTTGTAGGGGGGAAACCCCACAAGTGCCGTGGCAAGGGTCTGAAGCCTCAGCCTGTTCCCATATAAATATTGATTTAGAAAAGAATTAGAATTAAAACATAGTTATTCCTTTATGTAATCATATATAATCTTATAGTTACTTATAATCATAAAGATATATACTCAATATAACCTTTAATTTTACTAAATAACTATCAGGTTATAAAGCATGGAACTGAGGTGACAAGACATTGTGAACAAAGTGATCCTGAGGCCAGATGCTCTAAGCCCTCTGTCATGCCCGCCTAAGGGCTGTTGGAGGGCACCTCAGCTGTGCGGCAGCGCCAGTGCTGTGAAAGCGCCCGCTATTTAGCCAGCTAGGGAAGGAGATGTCCAAAATGACCGAGACATCTCCCTCCTGGGGAAGTTAGGAGAAAACTCCGCTTCTCCAAGCTCTTGTGGCAAGGCCTGGCCACTGTCAGGGAGGCCCACAGACATGCAGGGGCTTAACTGTCTCTATGTGATGCTGTGCTTCAGTGATCACGTTCCATGTCTGCTCTCATGCCCTGCTTCTACACCTGGTTTCTCTTTTTCTTAAAAGATAAGAATTAATAGTAACATAGTCTTAGTGTACTTGGTGTTTCTGACAAATATGTGAAGAGTGCTGACGCATTAGCTTTTCTCCTCACCTCGGCTACTTGAAAGTATTGGGCCCCCTATCTCCAAGACACGTGATTTACCTGACCCTATCACTTACCACCGTTACCTCACCCAACCTTCCCTGCCCACTGCTTTGTACTTAATAAAAGTCAGAGTGTCCAGGCACTTGGTGCCACTGCAGGTCTCCGAGCCTTGATTGGCAGTGGACCCCCGAGCCCAAACTCTCTTCTCTAGCTCTGTGTCTGTGTCTTTTATTTCTACAGTTTCTCATCTGCATTAGCAGGGAGGGGCTCACAGAACCCTAGAGGGCTGAACCCTATAACATTTAACTGGTTTGAGTCTGCCGAGATTTGCTAAAGAAGCA